ATTAAGAACACTCATTAGCATAGCCACACCTCCAATTCACACTTGCCTGGGGCAAGTAAATCGGAGCTTTAAGTAGTAAAAAGAATAACAGTGCCTCTGATTGGATGCCCATATGCATCATCATCAACAGTCTTATGCAAACTTAATTTGTAAATTGTTCTTAATTTTAATTGATGTGTTTTTCTAGGCATTTTTTCAGCAAGGCAAAAAAGATATCACATTTTTTTGCTTTAAAATTATTAAACAAATATTAATTTTGAACACAATACATCAACTATTCATTGTACTGTTCTTATCTAGAATAATCAAGGTAGTAGCTTTCCTTCATTGATCTTTTGTGGTCATTGAAAAAACAAAACAAGTTTGTTTGTTGTTTTACAGGAATTTTACAGAACAGTGCACTATGAACCAGGTATGGAAGGGTCTTACTGTTTTGTTGAAAATGATGAAAGTTGGTCAAGAGATGAAAGTTTGGATTGTAGAGAATCATCTAATGAGTGTGAAAACCAAGGTAATCCATTATGTATAATTAATGCATATAGTGAAAGTTAAGCTATAATGTATGGGTCAAGAACCGAGATTTGGATGGCTATAAGGATAAAATATGCTATTACAAACCAAGATTAGGATGCCAAATAATCTCTAGATTTTGACAGCTTTTACTTGTTTTTCTCATGACCTTAACATTGATATTTATGTGTCATTGACAATGGCATTCTTATATTTTATCTAGGGGAATATGTGGAATTATTTCCTGAGCCGAATAACACTTTGAAAGCTGTAAAGAAAAGACGATTATTATATGAGAAAACACCAGGAATGAAGGGACAGACTACACTTACCTTTTTTTAACCATATCACAATTGTAGTTGCTTTGTTGATAGTCACAACCACATATACTTGAATTACGATATTCTCCAAGTAACTGTACACATTTTAACATCTGTGTTGCTATAGTTAATGAATGCCATTGAAGTAGTTTACTAAATAACTTAATCTAAAGTTCTAGACTGGCCAATCCATGGAATTTTATAATTTTTTTTTAAATCTTGGTTGTATGCAAAATTACTATGACTGGTATATTTCAAAAAATAAAAGTAAATGTACGCTTGCACAAATGTCAGGTCATATGTGCGCATTAGAGTTGCAGTTCAGACCTAACAGTTCTCATTGACAGGCAGCTCATAATTAATGCTATTAATTAGCATATTTATCACCTCAAAACACAGTGACAACTACAGAGGGTGTGGCAGAACAGACTTATTTCTAAAAAGAATTATCATATATAAAGCAATAAAACTGCCATGTAGGCCAGTCTACTAAAATCTGTATACAGCACTGACTGAATGTAAAATACAGCTCACTTTCCAGAAAAATAATAAA